GCGCCAACGGCCTGATGATTATTTTTACACATTACTGTGCGATCTAATCCTTTTTTAATATTTACCAAGCACCATTTAATTCAAATGTCTACTTAATCTTTAACATTTGGCCATTTCTTTAGGACAGAAATGCTATAGCCACTGTAATTAAAAGAATATGTGGACATCAAAACGTGTAAACTCAGAGTGAGGGTTTGAGCTTTTATTTTGAAACCGCGATGTATTCTCCTGAGTTTGCGTAGATTTATAAATGATTTACCTTCTGATTAAAAGGTGCACAATGCGTTCCAAGATGAACGTTATAATAAACCCAAACCCACAACAGAGACGCTCCACACATGTAAATGATAACAGTTCCTGTGGAACTACTGTGAACCGAGCCGCTGTGTGATGCACGTACTTAACCTACACGCATGTAAATAATTAAAGCACATATACTGTATTAGAACTGCATCGCATATAATTATTTAATTAAATCGTAGTGTTTGTGAAGTCACAATTATGCTTAATTATGGTTTAATATATCATGCAGCCTTGGGAAACAGTCTAATAATGTGTTTTAAAGATTCTTGTCCGTGAAATGCACAACTTCCGGGCAAAATGAAGTCGAAGATTTGTAAAAATCAAATAGTCTAATAAAATCGACGAATCGCGACAGCCCTAATCACTACTCACTACTGCAGAGATGACGAGTCGGTGTCGCCGACTTCATCTCTTAAACCGAAAACAAAGAAAGCACTAGTTTATCAAATTATTAAAATGTTAATGCAGTTTCCTTACTGTTTTTCACTGACACATTCATAATCATTACTTCTGCCGGCACGCTGTGGCAAGCTTTGTGTGTGTGCTTGTGCGCTTATTAGGCTATGTAGGCAATTAAAGGTTCATTATAATGAATTAATTTGTTTATTAATAAACATGCAATTAGTCGACTAATGCTTAAAATGAACGACTACTGGTCGACCAGAAAAATCCTTAGTCGAGGGCAGCCCTATAAAAAATATAATAAAATGTAATAAAAAGTCAAATAAATATTTTCAAAATTAATATAAAAAATAAATGATATTAAATAAAAATCATTTAATTTATTTAAATAAATAAATAAATACATACCAATTATCAATAAATAAATAAATAAACATGAAAAATACTCAAATAAAAGGCATCCCTTACCGTGGGATTGTAGTTTAGGTCTTCAATTGATCTTAAAAAGTCCAGGCTCTTGGCGGCGGACAGTCGCCCTTGTTCAATGTGGGATGTACTGAGAGAGTCCAAAATCTCCTCCAGCAGGTTCATCTGCCCCGTTTGACTAACTTCAGACTGAAACTCTAAATCAGAGTCATCACTGTCTTCATTGTATGACGCCACTTCCCCGCTGTCCTCAGAGGATATTCTGTACACACACACACACACACACACACACACACACACACAGTTGAGTTGTTAATTCAAAAACCATGTGGGAGAAAAAAAAGCACCAGAGGGCAGTGTTGCATTGACAAGGTTTGGAAAACATACTGTAATCAAATTCAAACCCTTACCTGCTGGCTGTGTCGTCATTGTTGTCGTTGTTATAACCGTCCGGAAAACACAGGCTCATGTGTGGAGACGACTTTGGATTTTGATGCTAAAACAGAAGACCGACACATTAAAATCCCACTTAATCTACTAAAGCAACACATTTCCTGAAAGAAACTTTGCATGTCATGTCCCCATTACAGAGCGACAACATTAATTCCTGTCCTCGACGTAGGTGCTCGTTCTGCTAATCCCTCGGCTTTTATAACGCACCTGTGTAACATGTTTAATTGGCAAATTAAAGAATTTAAGCATTATACGGCATAGCTTCAAGCTCCAAGGCTTTAGGGCTCGCCATTAACTAGCCATCCACGACGCGAACACGCACACGCAAACATGCCGCCACTCACTAAAGTAGCCCATAAACTGCCGTTTGCCACATTATCAAAGCGCACTACTAAACTAAAGCCCTTTTAAAGAGCCCGAGGTGCGAGAAAAACGTCACGCTACGTTGCCAACCGGACGGGGTGCATCTGGTCAAGTCTCGCCATAATGGCTCGGCCAAGAAGCTTCTTGCCATTTTGGGTATCGCTGCCTGATGAATGGGTTAACGGCTGCCCTGTCCATAAAAATAGCTAAGAGATGCGTGTACTGAACACTTGGCCATTGGAATAAACAGGAACACATGTTGGGCGCTGATTGCCCCACTCGCTAGTAGCCGGCAGCTGTAATGAAAGCGATTACGGGGGGTTCAGGCCTTGAATCCTCCAAAAGGCTTTAATGGATTCCTGTGTCAGGGCCATAAATCTGGCCGGCAAGCCACTTTGGCTTAAGTGAAGGGGCTGGATGCACCTGCGGAACTGTGTCACATTCATTTGGTGTCGGCGGGGTGTGTGTGTGTTTGCCCTGCAACACTGTTTGTAGCCCCTTGAGTTGCGGAGCAGGCCGTGTTGTTCAGAGTGCGACCCCTCTCTGGTGCTTTCTACGAACGGAGGTGTTTATTAAAACAAGGTGAGCGCAAGCCCTCTACAGGATGGCAACACCAGGCCTGAATCTCAAACACCTACCGAAACAAAAAAGCAAACTCTCAACACATACAGTCAGGTATATGCACTAAAAACCAGAAGAAACGGCTAGTTAGCTAAATGCTAATTATTTTAAAATGATGATTCATGGGATTCATTCATTCACTTTGAGAGCATTTGTAGAATAATCTTAACCTTAAAAAAACTTAAGTAAATATGAGTAGTTAGCTTGTACAGAACCTGCAGCTACAATGCTAGAGTGGTTAAGTCACTGATTAGTGGTTGCTAATGTGTTTTTAGCATGTTGCTATGCAGTGGCTAGAGTGTTTTGGGTAGTTTCTTACTGAACCAAATCAAAGGAAGCTCATACTTAGTGTTGTGAGTGTGAAAGAGTAGTAATGCTAGTCGTTGCAAATGGCTAATTACACTTCAAAACAACACAGCAGAGAATGCTGGGAAATAACAATAAGACAAAGTCAGGCCTAAACTTCACCGTCACTTCATTCTTTAGTTCTCTCAACACATTCAGTTGAGAGAAAGAAAAGAAAAAAGAAAGAAGAAGAATCGATTTGTCAGCTAACTGGTTTGTCGCCACATTGCTATAGTGGTTGCTTGATTTGGTACATTGATTTGTGTTTGCTAAAGTGTTTTGATAGTTTTTTTTTAATCATGTTGCTACGCAGATACTAGGGCAGGGGTGCCCAAACTCGGTCCTGGAGGGCCGGTGTCCTGAAGAGTTTAGCTCCAACCCCAATTAAACACACCTGAACCAGCTAATCAAGGTCTTACTAGGCGTACTAGAAACATGAAGGCAGGTGTGTTGAGGCAAGTTGGAGCTAAACTCTGCAGGACACCGGCCCTCCAGGACCGAGTTTGGGCACCCCTGTACTAGGGTGTTTTGTAAGTCAAAAGAAGTTTATATTTAAGGTTATGGGTTAGTAAGGCTGAATGATTAATGTAACACTAAAAGCAAAATAATAGTTAAAAACATTTAAAAAAAAATGAAGAGTATTAATATTGTATTATTATTTTACATAATATTGTAATTGTACAGTAGTACTGTAAAATAAAATACATAATAATTATTATTATCTTAGCTACTCAATTTTTTTCCATTACGATGTATATTGTATTACATTTAAAAAAAAAGTTTTTTTTTTTTTTAGATTGAGTAATAATAATAATAATAATAATAACAATTATTATTATTATTATTATTAAAACCATACTGACATCAGTCAGTTTTTTTGGCCAAATGATGCAGTCTGAAAAATAAATAAATACACACACACATACATACGTACAATTTTAAATCAGAAACCCAGCAGATTGTTTCTACAATATTAATGGTAATAGCAATGCTTGTCTTTGCAAATCGCTAATTATGCTCTAGGATGACACAGCAGAGAATGCCGGGAAGTAACATTAAAACAAATTTGGCTCTAAACATTACCGTCACTTCATTCTTTCCAAAGTAAGTCGTGAAACAAAGTCAAAGGCCTGGAAAAGAATCAGGATATGAAATAAAATAATAAAAGCCGTTCGAGCCACTGTTCCGAGACAGGCCAAAACTGCCGATTTGGAAAACAAGCAGACATGTGCCCATTTGGTTCTTTTACGTGTACTCTAAATCAGCACAGACATATTGAGCCACCACAGGTCAGCATCTGCTCCTTAAACTGCCTGTTCAAATCCACACGGAAAATGGGCTGTCTTCAGTTGAAGTGGCGAGCAGACATCACGCTCTTCAATGGAGACTTTAAAACCGTTTAAACTTCATCTCTCTTGTCAGGGCAGGCCGTTTTAAGAGAAAATCCCATTTTGCTTCTAGCGTGGCCAAGTTGTAAGAAGCGGCAACAGGGCTTTACGTTGCAGCCAATCGTCTCGTTGATTTAATAGCCAGGCTTACATTATATATTTCATATGCTATTTCAGACCAGGCACTGATCTCATGCGCTTGGCAGGGTATGGAAAGGGAAGATATGCCTGGAAAATGCAAACAAAACCCCTGTGCCTCCAAGCCAAAATTGAAGCCAGCATCTGCTGAGCTATTCAAGCAGTTCCCCTTTAAACAAAGCCCAGGACCCCTTCTCAGGCAACTTCCCTCCAACTGGCTCCGGCTAAAAGCAACTTTCCGAATATCAGAGAGCAGGAGAGCGCAAGAAAGAGTCTGGATGTGTGCGTCGTTCGCGAGCATCCAGTAGGTGGCACTTTGGTTACAGCCGAGAGGGTTTTCTCCCCTCCTGTGAGCTTTGCATCTCTGTCTCATCGTCGTCTCATGCAGATGTGCGGTTTCTCACTGTTTGCAGCGAAACGTCCACCGGCCAAAAGCGCTTTCTCTCCATTTGTACGTCAATGTTTTTTGACACCCAACGAATCCATCTCGACGCTGGCAGTCCTCCAGACCTACGCGGTTTCACAAAGCTCTCACTGGGAGCTCTATCTCACACGTTCTCACATTCACACATCCGTACAAACAGCCATGAACCTGCGTGAGATGAGTTTAGAAAGAATAAGCCATATCTAAATGTAATTTTATTATGAAAAGACATGGATGTAGATATAAACGCATTAAGAGAATTTCAAGTAAACCTATTTTACTTCTGTGGCTCATTTTTGATTGAAAACGGATACTCAAAGGGAAAAATGTTTTCATTATTTTGATGAAAGAATACCAAAACGTTTTCTTTGAAATATTGTACAATATGTGCAAGAAAGCGTATTATAAGAATAGGACTGTTAAATCGACAGCACTTGTGGCATAATGTTGATTATAACATTATTATTTCATAATTGGCATTTCACTACTCTTAAAAAAAATAAATATGGGTTACAATGAGACAGTGGAAGTGAATGGAATCTGTGAACATTAAAATACTCATTGTTTCAATAGTACAGCCATTAAATGTGAGTGTTAACATGATGTTAGTGTGACAAAAGTAACAACTAACCTTTTGTGTAAAGTTAAATCCAATTTTTACTTCAGCAACAACTACATTTTGTTTCGTTGTTAATGACATTGTAACAACTAAAACCCTAAAATGATATTTTTTTCGACTTTGCAGCTCAAATGATACACAAGTTTTAACAAAAATGTATGTAAGGGATTTATAAGATTAATATCTTCACATTTCTGCTGTTAAATCCCCCCAAAATGATCCCCATTCACAATTATCGCAAGTTCCGCACGTAACCTTGATTTTTATTTATTTATTTACTTTTTAAGAAAACGAGGCATGAGTCGAAATTTTACATTTTGACCACAAATGCAGTCGAATGAGCTTGACTTGTTTTGAACATGGAATATTTCTTCAAATAAAATAAAATAACATATCAAATAAAATTTCTTCTTCGTAAATCAGATTCATTTTGATTTCACGACTTGAAGAGTTCCGCAGCTGTAACGTAATCATGTTTACAGTGGTCAATGCTTAGGGCGGTATGTAAATGAAGGTGGAAGCTCACAAGCCGGAGCAGGAAGTGTGTATGAATTATACACAACTTGAACAGAGCTTTTTGGACTCTTTAATATGCAGCGCTGCTGAACTGGCCACGGCTATAGGGGATCCATCTGCCGGCTTCATCCAGAGAGCGTGTGTGTGTGTGTGTGGAGTCATTCCCCAGAGGCTGTGTGCCACTCAGAGGAGGCAGCCGCAACACACACACACACACACACACACACACACACACACACACACACACACACCCATAGCTTCAGTCGCGGAGAATAAGCAGGAGAGAGAGATCAGCTCCACTCTGCCCCAGGCCCTGCTACTGACACCCAGTCTGGCTTTCACAGGCCCTCAGGCTCGACCTGAACACCAGCCCCTTATACTGTACGCCGCATGGATTCGGCACAGTGAGCCAGACTCAGAAAATACAGCTCAACTTTTCTGTGAGTGCAGCAAGTGTTGTTATAGTGTTCGTGAAAGTGCACTGAACTTATAAAACAAAAAGAATCAAAATAAAAACATATAGTATAATATTAATAAGAATAATAACAATAACAACAACAATAAAAGATACTTTATTTTAACGTGTCCTTGTTACAATTTACATGTACTTACTATTATAATAACAACAATTATGCATAATTACATGCAAGTACATGTAGTTAATTATTATTACTCAGTATTTAAATATATAATTACACTGTAACAAGGACACCTTAAAATAAAGTGTAATCAAATAAATACATACATACATACATACATACATA